GGAGCCACTGCTTTTTAATACCCTGGGTCTCAGCATTATTTCCCTCTGCTCCATCCCCCTGCTTCTCCCATTTGTGTGGGAGCACTCAGTTCACACTAACAGATCTGAACATCCCCGGATGATTAAAGGAAGTGCTGCCTTTTAAATCGCTCTGATTGGGGTTGACAGCTGTGTGGAGTTGGACACTTGGCTCTAATGATGTGTGAAAATCTCCCTGCTGTGACCCATCGTTCCAGCTGTGGAAAATAAGGAGAAAGGCGGAGGAGGGGGGGTAAAAAAATCCCTTCAGAGGAAGTCCCTGATCAGACAGAGGTTTGTCACTCAGGACAGTCCCTCTGGGGCTCTGCTCAAGGCCTGCATGTGGCTGGGAGAGGTGGCCCTGCTCGTGGAACTGATGAGGATGTGTGTGAATGTGGCACCAGTGGCAGCAGGTACAACAGAGTCCCACTCCAGCACAGGTTGCCATGACCAAAGCATCTGAGCCATGTTGGAAGCTCAATCTCAGAAAAGGAATGCCTGCCAGTTTCATGGTGGGCTCCACCCTGGCTCTGGCCGGTCCCACCAGTATTCCCATGCTGGTATTGGGGGGATATTATCCAAGACAGGGGTGTTCCTGGTGTGCACGGGCTGCCAGGGCACGGCCGTGCTGCTGCTGGAGCTTTGCTTCAGTCGAGTCCCGTGAGCGTGGTAAGAAGGGACTGAGCAAGCATCCCTGACACACAGGGGCCACCAGCTGACATCTCCTGAGGTTAGTCTCCATCCCTGCATGAAGGCAATGTCAACCCAACAAGTTCACTGCCTTCTTTCCCCATCACCTTCCTCTGCCATTAACTCCCTAATGACACCTGAATTCAAAGCAAATCTGACCACACACAGTCCAGTCCTTCCTCTCCAGACAAATATGCTTCTTAGAGGCCCTCCTAGCTGAGATCCACTGTTCTGTGGCAGATGGGAATGGCCAGGTGGGCTCTGAAAGGAAGGATGAGTTTCCTGAGGCTCGGACGGGGCTAAACAGAGGCACAAGGGGAGGCCGGGCACCAGCAAGAGGTGTCCTGCAGCGAGTGACCCTCAATGTGACATTGATGGCTCTTAATTCCTAAGCCTGCTTTGGAAGGATTTCAGTAGATCCTATTTAATCACTGCAGCCTCTTCATCTCCCTTGTCTCAGCTCAGGGTAATATTACGCATTCTCCTCCAACGGCTTTCTCCAAGAACTGGCCACCTTCCTCCTCCTTTTCCTCCTCCTCTTCCTCCTCCAGAGGTCCCTGGCGCAGGATGTGCCACCGAGCCCTTCTCCTGCTGCACAGCGCGGGGCTGCCAGAGCCGCAGCTGCCCTTGGCCTGCTTACCAGCACACAGCTCAAACAGCATTTGCCTAATTTCCCCTGTCCCCGGGAGGACTCTGTCCGGTGCTAACGAAGGGCACGGCCCCCTGCAGGTGCACCGCCACCCCCGTCCCCGCAACCGGGCTGCGCCGTGCATAGCATTAAACGTTGAGGCGCTTGTCAAAATGTTGTAACGATTTTTTTGTCTTGTTCCATTAGCTCCATTTCCAAAGGCCACCACTGGAACTACTGAACATTTATTTCTATTGAATCCAGCTTAGAAGTTATGATCTGAGAAACGGGGGAGACAGGACAGTATGTTCGGCGGCACCGGCTTTTCCCCATCACCGCTCGGCTGAGACACGTCGGCCTTTGAAATATCATTTCTATTCCTACCTTAGAAAAACTAAAGAGATTGACTCTTCTGCCTGCTTGATTTGCTTCTGCTGGTTAAATAAGGTACATAAATATCAGTCAGGTGGCTGCCCTGTGTAAGTTTTGGGGCTGTGTGTTTAAATGCCCTGCACAGTTTGTGGTACCGGCGGTGGCAGCCGAATTTCCTCCCCAGGTGCAAAATAAAGTGCTGTTATTACATGATTTTCCTGTTGCTAGAGAGGTATGCACATGAATCTTCCTCCCTCGCTGCCTGTGCATGAACAGCATCTTATTATGCAAATACTATGAGTATTAGACAAAAAGGACTGAAGAAAGCTGGTGAAAAGAGCAGTTTAGACTGGGGGTGAAGCGTGGGCAGGGCAGGCTGCAGGGACTTATGGTTCCCAGATTCGCTTTAGGTTCACTCTATCCCCAAGAAGTACAGAGCCACAGGGAGTTGCATGGGGCTGGGGACACCTGCAGCCCCCAGGGACACTGGGGAGATGCCCAACACACCAGACCTTGGCCACAGGATCGCACACCAGGGTCACTGCAGGGCTCAGCTCCCCAGGTAAACCTCAAGTTTGCACAGGGGAGCTGGGCTTGCTGCGGGCCAGAGGACAGGACTGCTGGTGGCAGCCCTGCAGAACTTCTCCTTCAGGGTAGAAAAAAGGGAAATCTAAAGCCTTCTTGTAGACTTCCCTGCATTTCAGTTCCTTGCTATTTAAAGACATGTGAGAGCCCAAGAGTTCCAGCCCGGCTGCCCGTGCCTGGATGCTTCGAAAAGTTGTAATCCCTGCTAGTGACATCACAGGCCGTTGCCATGGGGATGTCACAAACTCAGAGCTGTGACTTCACCACGGCAGGGATGGGCAGCAAGGGAGGCCCTGCTTCCCAGCCACCACTGTCTCTGGTAATTAGCAAACGGGCATGGAAAATGAGGATGAAATACACAGGATAGGAACATAAAACCATTTTGCAAGTATGATCTATTGGAAAGCATTCCCTCATGAGAAAGTGCCTCCTTAATGTATCCTGCGCTCTTAAATAACCCGCAAAAGGCAGAGAATAAAATAGAAATTATAGTGATTTGTTTTATTGGGCATTTCATTGAGTAATTAAGAGGATAATTAGGAGAAGGAACACTAAAAGGCGTTACGCTCAGCCCTCATCCTGCTGTAGAGAAGCATCCTCATACTGAATGTGCAGCATCATCCAGTGTTGTCCTGTGCCAGTGTGGGGTTCCCTGGGGTGAGAGGGGCATGCATGGATCTGGGAAGGGGTGAAAAACATCTCCCCTGTGGCCTGGCAGGATGCCAGAGCTCTCCCAGGAAATGCAGGGTGGGAACAGTAGGTTGCAGGGAGCAAACCCCACCTTTGTGGCACCTCTTGGCATGTGGTGTCTGGCTTTGGCACTTGTGCATTGTGTGTGTCATGTAGGGGAGCCTAAAGGAAAAAGCTGTCTCTGGGGAAGAGCTCACTGTGGTGAAACATGGGCTGACGGAGCACCACAGCCAAGACAGAAGTGCTGAAAGCTCAGCACAATCGTCCCCCTGTGCCAGGAGGGCAGCTCTGTCACCCACTCCCCTTCTAACACCTATTCCCCATTTTACCTCCTCACCTTTGGTACATATAAAAGTACCTGTATAACTAATCCAGATAGGACCCAACACCAAGAGCCCTCAGCAGCTCAGTCTAAGCTGCCTCCCTAGGATAGCCAGTATTTCCCACTGACAGAGGAAACCTTGGTGCTGGTCAACACATCCATGAAACACACACACCAATGCAACAAAGACCCATTCAAGTCACAAAATCCACAGCTCCTTTCCAACCCCAGCACATCTCGCTCCACCCCATTTACCCACCAGCACAGCCACACTCCAACAGAATTGTCAGGACATCAGGTGCCACCACAGGCTTCCTCTGAAGCCCATGTTACAAACTGGGGGCCCCAATGCTCACACGCACTGCCACCTCCTAAGAGGCCCCAGGTGAAAGCCAGCCCCAGCAACAGCAATCTGTCCACTGCAAGTCCTCAGTGGTCACTGCAGGCAGCAAGTGTGGTGATGGGAAAATGTAAATGGGAGTGACAGACACCATGAAAAGAAAGGGCTTGACTGGAATCAGTGAGTCCCACTGGACAACCATCTACAAACACCAAGATGACTGATGAGCTAATTCCCATTATTTCCTCAAACCACTTGCACAGGTGGCAAAACAAGCAACCAACCTAGCCAGATAAATGAGAAACCCCAATCTCCAACACAGCAGTGCTGAACAATTGCCAAGAATTAAGTAGTACTCAGGTCCTTGTCTGCTCCAGAACACACATTGTGGAAAGCGTGCTGGAGAAGGCTGGCATGTTTTAAACTGGTCTCTGTGACTGGAAACCCCTTTTTTCTCCCTGGAGAGATGGGTGTGACGGCTATAATCCAGTTGCCATGCTGGATTTCAGGGACAGCGGCTTGTCCGTGTTGAGCCCAAAGCATCAGACAACTGTCAGAAAAATCCACGTTCAGAAAGGCACCAACTCTCCTTTTTCCCATCCTGAGAACCACGGCTCCCCTCCACCCTCCCCCTGCTCAGGGGGAGCAATTTCCATCCTCTTCAAAGGAGAGTAAAACCAGCTTTTTGGCTTGTGGCTGGCTCTTAAAGGCACGAGAGCAGCTTGCTGAAAGACTCTAGAGCTCAGCACAGCCCTAAAACAAGGCTCCTGTTTGAAGTGTATGGATTGAGGCTGGATTAAGAAAGCCCAGGAGGAGTGCCTAGCTCTGCTCCTTCACTCAAAAGCCTGTTCGGCAGCAGCAGCAGCCAAGGCACTTCATCCTGCTCAGCCCTTCGTGTGATCCCCACGAAGCCGCCACGGCGCCGGGGAAGCGGCGATTTCGTATGCGCGGTTCAACATGACCCGGGGAGCGGGGAACGGCAGAGCGTGTGCTCTGCTTCCCGATGCTGCTCCTCCCGGGAGGCTGCGGGAGCACCCAGCGCTGCGCTGACCCTGTCCTCCTCGAGATGGGCAGGATAAATAACTTCCACAGGGGCAGGGTGAGACCAACAGCAAAGGCAGGACAAAACACCGCCATTAACCACCTCTGCCCGGTCAGGCGGAGCCGACGGAGACTCCAGAGCCCTGTGCTGCTTGGGCACAGGGACTTATCTGCATCTTGAGACAAGTTTAGAGAACCCCTTCCGAAGTTTCCCTCTTGCAAACACCTTGTTTCCCCCCTCCAATCAATGCAACAAGCAGGTTTAGCGCAACACAAACAGGGAACAGAGGATAAAACAATATTCCAACCCATACCTGAAGGTGCATCCTTCTTTTCTCACCAAGCAGCAGGGAGGACGTTGCTGTCTCTCGGTAATTTTCCAACATCCTGTGTTGCAGGTAGATTTATGCACTGATCATAGTTGGAGCTGTTAATAAAAAAGCGCAAAGAAAACGGATTTTACTGTGAAGTGTAGGGCTGCTTTTCTCCCAGCTTTGCATTATCATGACTTCCTCCTTTTTTAATCTTTTTTTCTATGATTGACCATGTTTGGGGTTCAAAGCTTTAAAAATAAATCGCAAAGCGTCTTTCATCTACTATGCATGAGAGAGTCAGAATCATTACATGGTTTAAATGGATATTTTGGGAGCAACGCTGGACCAAGCAGTTCCTACTTTAACTGGGAGCCAGAGGGATGAAGCTAATTTGCAAATAATGTTACATGCTGGTTTTACTTTAACTCAGGGAAAGGGCTGCAGTGACTACTTGTCATTCTTTGTGAGAAATTGAACAAAATGGAAATCAGTTCACTAGTTAAAATATATAAAAATATATGTATATAAAAAAAAATATCTGCAGCAGACCAATTTCTCCTGCACCAGGGGAACATCCCAGGACTGCAATTAAGCTGTGGCTCAGCACGAACCCTCCTGCTGCCTGAGCAATGGGGACAAACAGACCGGCCGTCCTTTTCCTGAGAGCAGATTCTTAACCTGGCGATCTGAGAGCTTTTCTGCAGCTCAATTTGAGCCACTTCTTCCTTACGCAGTTGGAAAGTCAACTTTCCCCTTTAGCATCGTTAACGCCTTCCCCCAGGAGGGGGGAGCTGCGATATCTGCAGAGCTGCGTCTTCACAGCGAATCGCCTATCGATGACTTTGTGGCTAATATATACAGTGGGAAGCAGAGGAGCTAATATAATGTAATTTTCCATGTTTACTGCATTATTACAGTGGTTGAATCTGCTGATTAGTTCCCATTTTTTTGCCATCTCGTCCCGAGCATCCCTTTTATTTTTGCCCTGCTTATCTGCATACAGTCATTTATCCACACGGCTGCTGTAACAGCAAGCAGGGCCAAAGCTATCATTTCTCCTCCCTTTCACATTTTAATCTTACAGACCTCAATCTTTGTGATACCACTATTATTTTGTCCATATCTGATCTAACGGGAACCAGCCTTTTTTTTTTTTTTTTTTTGGCCCTAAAAAAATAAAACTAGTCTGAGCAAAAGATCATGGTGGCTGTGGCACTAATGCTCCCTGGCATATCTCCTTGCAACGAATCCGGTGCTAAAACAGAGACCGTTTGTTTCCCTTCTCTCTACAGGACTGCAGGACTGACCCCTCATGCACAGGCAGCTCCCACCAATAAACAACATTGCCCCGATCTCCTGGGGGATTAATTTCTCTGCCAACTATCTCAGCAGCTCTTCTTATTGTCTTATTTATCCAAACAGTGGAAAAACAACTCAAGTGGAGCCAGACACTCTCCAACAACATGACTGTTACTGACTTCTTCAGATTTGTTCCCCTACAAGCTAGGGAAGTCTCCTCTGCCAATGGTTAATTGAAAAAGGAGGGGGGAAATTTCCTATCATATGAGCAACACCAGAAAAATACACTGCTGTTCCTTGACGATCACGACATTTTGCCCCCAGCTTCCCCAATGCCCCTCACCTCCCAGCTCTGAGCTAACAGTCACACCAGCTGGAGACCATCCGCTGAAGCACTGAGCCAAGATGCTCTGCATATGCCAACCACATCAGCCAGAAAGGATTTACTTGGAAGAGATGAGGAGACAAATTGAGGAACCCCTCTACTCCCTTCTGCATCCCGAGGTTTTTCAAACAGCAAATGCGCTCACTCAACCTTCTCACTGCATGACCACACTCTGCACCATCACTCTGTGGTTTCCACCTACACCAAGCTCTTCACCTCTTCCTGCAGACCAAGTCCTTCCCCACATCCTCTGCTGAACAGCCCAGTATGGGGAATCCCTTGCTCACGTCCACAAGGAGCTCCCAACCACCCATGCTGTAGCACTGCAGGAACCTGAGTGTTCCTTGGTCTAGATACAACCCAGCATGTATTGTATTTATTATTAATGAAAGATTAAATGTTCTAAAGAGTATTATTAATTTTAAAGCTACTAATAATCATCAGCTGTCCCTCACTTCACCCTGCAAGCCTGAGAGCTGTAACGAAAGAGCAAATTCCAGCTCAGAGCATCTTTAACCGAGGCTGCTGTGATCCACAGCCCAGCTCTGCAGCTCAGGGCCCACAGGCATTTTCTGCAAGTAGTGAGGAACCTCAAAGGTCTTCTAATGTGAGCAACCACAAAAACCCAGAAATGGCAGAAAAAGAACTCTCTGTTACCCTTGTCTTTGAAAATAAGGACTCTCACCAACCTCCCAGATCTGCAACACTGAGCTGTCTTCTCTTGTTCCAGTCTGCACCCCTATTATCACACCAAGAACCAGGTTTGCACAGCGGCCTGCGTTGCAGCAGTCATAAGATGGTGATAACCCATTTGAGCTCCAAGAGAAAGTCTGCATTTCCAAATGTGTTCCTTGCCCTCTTCCCCCTTTGGAAAACGCAGCTCCTTACAGTCTCACAGGAGCACGAGCTGAACTTCACAATGGGCCCATCCCAAATGAGTTGTCATGGGACAGGACTGTCCATCTGACCACATAACACTCAGCTCTCCTCCCAGAAGCAGCCTCTGCTCCCATCAGAGGTGCTCCATCAGCACCAGGAGGAGGGCTGTTTCTGCCCTGAATCCTCGAGCTCTTCAGCAGGACCAGCAGAGTGGGAAGCCACTGGCTCCAGCAGACACTCACGTGTCAGAAGGGCACGTGTGAAGGTACAAATCATCCCTTGCACCAGCAGCTTTCCTTCTGGCTCGGCACATCAGCACTGGTGGTGAATCACATTTCCTTTGAATTTCACTTGGAGGAACAGGGAGAAAGGTATTTCACAGAGGAGAGTCACAAAGAGGCCCACCTTGGAAAATAGGCTATTTTTGGTACTATAATCCCTTTCCTGTGGAAAAGAGGGAGGCCCAAGAGACTGATGGAGCTGCTGAAACCCACAGAGGAATCTGGCAGCAGAGTCTGGAGCATAATACGGATATCAGGGACCAACAACCAGGGCCAAGATCCATGTTCAAAAGCTGTACCAGCCTCAGGACTGAGACCTGTGCTTTCACCACCCACCTGCCCACCAATCCTGCTGTAAGCCATGCAGTATAGGATGCTGCAGAGCAAGAAGGTGAAAAGGGACACTGTTTGCTTCCACAGATCTTTCCTAAGCATGCAAAGACCTGGCTCTTCATCTGAGTGCTAATTCTCACCCTTTTTCATCCCATTTTTTTGCAGCTTTTCTACAAATCCAGAATACATTTGAGCGATCAGCACAATGTTTAGTGAGAAAATCGTATGCTACATTTCCGCTTGGCATGATTTTGAAATGGTTAAGCTGTTAAGCCCTGAAAGGGAAGTTTTAAGAATACCGTGAATAAAAGAAGCCAAAAACAAAAATAAACCAGCAGCAGCAAAATTAGAGCATGACATAAAGGAACCGTTTGGATGGATCCTTTTTTTCCAGAGAAACAGTGCACGCTGGCTGCTGCTTTCCCATGTCAGGATCTCGGCAGTTGGGTAGCACTTGGACTTGCATTACAGCAGCAGAGAAACAAACTCAAAATCAACAATAGCACAAGTTTTCCTAAGATGGGATCAAACTTCTTACAAGCTGCTCTAAACCACTGCCTCTGAGGCCTGCTTTGCCCATCTCACTGTGCCCCAGCAGGGGAGATGCTATGAGAGCAGGAAGGGGTTGCTTGGCACATCCTGAAGTGCTTGTGTAAGGAGAGGCAATGGTCCAGGATGGGGTACTCTGGGAGATACCCTAGGAATGCCTGTATATCCACATAAACTCTTCCAAAGAGAAGTAAATCCTGCCCCAGTCTGTGGCACCTTCATGCAACACAACCCCCGTGGTACTGGTCCCTCTAAGGACAGCCAGGTTCTGCCTAGAGCATTCAGGGGACAGAGGGGACTCCCCACCTTCACCCAGCCAACTTGATTCACACAACACAGTGACAGCTGTGTGGCCCCTCTGTCTCCTGTGTCACTCAGAGGTCCCTCCTGAATTATGCATTACTTTGCTGCTGTGCACACTGACTCGGTGACTTACTTACACAGCCAGTTACTGGGCTGAAGGACACAGCTCCAATCACAACCATTTTACACTGATTTTTGTCACAAAATGCGATACAATGTTGGATCAAAAGACCTCCCAGAATCCATATATATGACAGTGTCCCACTCCAGCTGTGACACAAAACATTAAGGTAATGACAGTGCCAGTAGCATTCATATCTGCTACTTTTAGGTCCACCCAAGCCAGTGCAGCTGAGAGGGAACAAGGGCTCTTTTTCTCCCTCTCCAGCCTCCCCTGAGTCGCTGTGAAGTTTTTGCTATTCAAAAAGCTCTTGAAAGAGAGCTCTCTCACCTGGGAGGGTCTGGATCAGAGACCTGGTTGGGTCACTACAAAGGTAATGGAGGGAGAAACCTCTTTCCCCAGCACGTTCACCTCTGTGCACATCTCTGCAGAGGTGAAGCACGCTCTGGGTAGGGCATCTCCTGTCCAGTTCTGTACACTGACCAGCAGCAGCTGGGCACGACAAAGAAGATGAATAAACAGCCAGACATCCCCTGCAACTTCTCCAGCTCAGATCCTTCCCCTGCCTTTCTGAAGTGCCAGAGGATCTTGTGCTGGGTCCACAGTCACAGGATGAAACCTGTGACCTGTATCCCCAAATCCCTCTCCTCCCCCAGGGAGGCAGGGACCCAAGCAGTCAACCCACCACCTCCATCTCTCCTGGGGGGTGTTCTAAGGCTCGCCTGGACCAAGTCAACACCAACCTGATTCACCACTGGCAAAAGTCCTGCCTCAAGGAAGAAACTGGGCTGCAGAGTTCCAGAGGTCCCTTGTGCCAGCATTTCTGAGCCCCACCTTGTGATTTTCTCTTCTGTGTTCATCCTCCTTCACAGTCTTGAAACTGCAATGCCTCAGGAAAGCTCTCTGTCTCCACAAGCAGAGAATCTCGTATGTGAAACATTAACAAAATCCTAGGATTTCATT